GTTTCCTTTATTTCTGTTAGCCTTCAGAAGGAATGTGGCGACTAAACTAGTCAGGAAAACACTCTGCCGTTGATTTACATATCTCTAACACTTAAACGTTTTAAAATGTGAATAAAGTTAGGGAGAAGGGGCACCAGGAATGTGTGTGCTGAGCCCTAAGATTGCAGCAGGGATTGTCTTTACCCAGCAGTCATAGCCAGAATCCTGCTGCTTCTTCAGACACTGACCCTCGTGCATCGGCATTGAGTAGACATCCAGACTTCAAAACTTCAGGGTCTGAAGTTTAGCAAGTACCTTAATCGTTTGTTTTTTTTTTCTCCCTTGGTTTCATCCATTGCATCAGGAAGAAATCTGGGGTTAGTATTTGTGAGGCAAGCCTATTTGTTGAGCACTCTGCTTCAAGGACATGCTTGCCAGAAAATGGGAAGTAGTCATCACTCTGACAATTCTAGTCCTACATAGACGTCAGTCCCTCCAGTCCAGGGTTGACGGACCAGAGATGCTGTGCACACATCTTCCTCAGCCTTAGACTCTCTGCATATTCTTTACTCCGTGTTGGTTGTGCAGGAAAGGGAACCAGAAGCCATGGTTTGGGGAAAGGTTAGATTAACAGCCAGTAGTTAGTGCAGAAGCTGGTGTTAAATGAGCATGGGTCCCTGATAGGTGGGACACACAGTCCTGACATCTTGAATGTGTAAAGATTGTGGCTAAGGGTGGTAACCAACTTTATGAAATTTACTAGAGTGAGGAAAAGACTTTTTTACTTACTTTTTTTTTCATTATTGAAAACAGATTTTTAGTGGGATTGCTTTGAGTTTCTGTCTATTTAGGTTGATGTTGGCTGTGGGCTTGCTGTAAATCGCCTTTATTATGCTAAGGTATGTCTTTTGTATCCCTAGTTTTTCAGTACTTTTATCATGAAAGATGTAGGATTTTGTCAGAGGCCTTTCCTGCACTTATTTATGTGGTGGGTTACATTTATCAGTTACCTCTTGCACTATCCCTGCCTATTTGTCATGGCGGACGGTCTTTTTATGTCCTGTATTCAATTTGCAAGTGTTTAACTGAGAATGTTTGCATATATGTTCATAAGGGAAATTGGTCTGTAATTTTCTTTTCTTTGTTGGGTCTTTGTGTGGTTTAGGTATCAAGGTAACTCTGGTCTATTATAAAGAATTGGCAATGTTCCTTGTGTTTCTGTTTTGTGAAATAACTTGAGGAATGTTGCTGTTAATTGTTGTGGTAGAATTGTGTGATAAAACCATCTGGCTCTGGGCTTTTTTTGGTTAGGAGGCATAATTGTTACATATGTTTCTCTAGGGGTTATAGGTCTGTTTAAATTGCTTATCTGATTTTGATTTAACTTTGATATGTGGTATATGTTAATAAAATTATCCATTTCTGCTAGGCTTTGCAACTTGGTGTAGTACAGGTTTTTAACAAGTGTGTCTTTATGATTCTCTGGATTTCCTTGGTATCTCTTGTTATATCCCCCTTTTCATCTCTAGATTTGTTAATTTGCATATTCTGCCTCAGCCTTTTAGTTAATTTGGCTAAGATTTTATCAATCTTAATGATTCTTTGCAAAGAACCAATTCTTTGTTTCATTGGTTCTTTGTATTGTTTGTTGTGATTGTTTTTATTGAGGGGGGGGTCGAGACAGGGTTTCTCTGTGTAGCTTTGGAGTCTGTCCTGGAACTAGTTCTGTAGACCAGGCTGGTCTCGGACTCACAGAGATCCACTGCCTCTGCCTCCTGAGTGCTGGGATTAAGGGGGGGGGTGTGAATGTTTTTTTTTTAAATTTCAGTTTGATTATCTCTTGTCCTCTACTCTTTTGGGGCGTTATTTCTTCCTTTTGTTTTAGCGCTTTCAGATGTGCTGTTCAGTTAACTGATAGGCCTCTCCAGTTGCTTTTACGTAGGCACTCAGGCGCCGTGAGCACCGCTCCATTGTGTTCCATAAGTTTGAGTGCTTTGTATGTTCATTTTCATTCAACCCATTTTCCACTCACTAGTGTGCTGTTCAGTTTCCGTGAGTCTGTGAGCTTTCTGTTGTCTCTGTTGCTGATATGCACATTTACTCTGTGGTGGTCAGAGAGAATGTAGCGGTAATCCCAGTGTTCTTACCTCTGTTGAGACTTGCCTTGTATCCAAGAATGTGGCCAGAGTTGGAAAGTGCCGTGAGCAGCTGAGAAGGTATATCCTTCCGTATTTGAGTGCAATGTTCTGTAAATATGTTAGGTCCGTTGCATTTATGATGTCAGCTCCAGCATGTCTCTGTTTAGTTTTTTCTGGGTGACCTGTCTAGTGGTGAGAGTCGAATATTGAAATCAGTGTGTGAGGGTCAGCATGTGACTAGCTGTAGTAATGTTCCTTTTACAGACTTGGGGGCTCTTGTGTTTGGTGCATAGACGTTTGGAATAGCTACTTGTTGAATTTTTTGAGTATGTAATGCCCCTCCCTATCTCTTCTGATTAGTTTTGAAGTCTGTTTGGTCAGATATTAAAATGACTGTACCAGCTTGTTTATTAGTCCATTTTCTTTGAATGTCTTTTTCCATTTGTTAAGCTTCAAACCCAGAACCAACAGCTGAGGTACCTATTTAGCATATCCAAGTGGACCTGGCTGCCAGGTCCTCCCAGCGTCCCTCGGTCCCTACTGTTACAGAGTGTAGTTGGCACACCTAGCCCTCTACCCTAAACTCTCCAGCGGCTCTTCCCTCTATAATGTGGACATTTTGGTTGCCCACCCCGTTTGACCATTGGGCTCCTGGCTGCTGACCTGGTTCTCCTCTCTGCCCCTTTTCTTCCCCTCCCCATCTCCCTACATGGTCCGGCTTAGTCTGATCGCGTTCACTTTGGACTCCCCCAGATGTCCCTGCCTTTGCTGTCTCTCCCACTATCTATACTGAAGTTTCCCCTCCATCATACCTAGGAGCAGTCATGCCTTTTCCTTTCCTTTTTATTTCTTTTTTCTTTTTGATGTGGGAAAGGAAACAGTACTAGCTCCGGACCCCCAAGATCAAGTTCTCAGCACAAAAGAGGTTCATTTGCCTAGGGGGACAGAGGGCAGGGATAAGGCACAAAGACAGGAGAGGGGGGAACAAGGGAGATGGGGGAGGAATGTGTGTCCTGGGGAGTCAGGAGCAATGTCTAAGGACGGCCTCTGGATAGAGAGGAGACAGCGGTGGCACATAGGAAAATGGCGGTTTATAAAGGTTAAGGGGGAAACCCTGTGTTAGGATGAGGCATTTCACTTTAATTGAGCATGTTAATTAGGTGAGCCAAAGGGGGCTTCTGATCACTGGACTTCAATACTTTGACAGCTGGACCTTGGTAGTCAGTCTCAGGAGGAGGAAGAGGTCAAATAAGGGAATAGGCCTTGGTGGCTGGCTTTACGGATATGATCTAACGGCTTTTAGCAAGGCAGAGGAATGGGGAGAAGGGCATGGCCTGCCCGAGCCAAGCTCACCATACTCAGGCCAGCTAGAGTCCCTTCAGTGGGGCATGACTGTGTGCCCAGAACTTGGGAGGCTGAGGCAGGAGAATCTTGAGTGCAAGGCTTAGCTTAGTGGTATAGTAAATTCTAGGATAGGCTAACCTACTCAGAAAGTCCTGCATCAGATCCAGCAGACATCAGGCAAACCCCGGGTCTACATCATTTCATTCTGAGCTGGTGGTGCCACACAGCTAAGTACTTGGTTTGTTCTGACACTCTGCCCTCATCCTCGCTGCCTCATTGTTGACTGACTAAATTATTTCCCAAATGGCATTTCTGTTTGAGATCCAGCCTATAGGAGGATGAAAAGCAAGTTTCACGGGCAAAGGAGAGTGTGGCTTGGAAGGACTTTGTTACAGAAAGGGCTGAAGAGGAAGGTGGGCATGTATGAACTGGGCTGTCACTAATCCCGAGAGGTTTGAATGCCGGGAGGAGAACGTTCCCAGGGAAACTGATTCTTGAAAGTTGAGGCCAACATGACCATGTATACAGATGGACATCAAGGCTGTGGCAGATATCTATAAAGCTGAGACGGTAACTGTTGGAAACAGAATTCAAAAGGCAACGGGGGAGAAAACTAGGACTTACGAGCCTTGGCAGGGCACGCAACTTTTAAAACAGGTGTATTGAAATTTTAAGTTGAAAAGTAGAAGACTGCAGAAATGACTGGTAGGTAAAGAGCTTGCCGCGCAAGCGTTAGGACCTGAGTTCAAATCCCCCGAACTCTTATAAGGTTGAACACAGTAGTGTATGTCTATAATCCCGGCTGGGAGGGCGAGAATGGAGAATCCCCAGTAGCCTGCCCACCAGCTAGCCTAATATTCACCACAGCAGGGAACAGGAGACCCTGTCTCAGGCAAAGTGAGAAGCAGGGACCAGTGTCTGAGGCGGTCCTCTGAACGCCACACACACATCGTGGTGCACATACATCTGCCTTCCCACCCTCACATGCACGTACTGTACACACACAGAGGTTTTAAAAGAGAAAAAGAAGCTATGTTTTGGATTTCTCTCATTTGCTAGAATTTGTGTAATAATGAATTGTAAAGGATCTAGGATTCATTGTCTTTGACTTAAGAAAAGTTAGAAAATTTTGCATCAATAAACATATTATCCTGATAAGAGAATGAGGCATTTGCTTATTCTAGGAATCTACAAATGGATGAAATAATCACATTATGACTGTAGGTGAACTATCATGGTATATGTAGAATAACTCTTCAAGAGTGTATAATAAAAAGTAACTTAGGGTGATTATGGAACTTTAATTTTTTTCCTTAATCTTGATTTTCCAATAGAATTATGTGTTAAAATATTTAATAATCTATGTTAAATTTAGAAAATCAGAGATAACTTCACTTGCTCTTCAGTGATTACTGCCAAATTTTTGGTGCTTGTGAAAGAAGTTTATGGAAATGAATTAACTTATCGTGTTACTGACTTAACAGCAACATTTCCTTACTGAGCCAAAGGAACTCTAACTTGCGTCCTCCTGTTTTCCAGCTCGGCTCGTCCTCCTCTGTGCCTTTTACATCAATTTTCTCCCAGCTGTTTGTGACGGTCGTGGTGCCTCTCATCATTGGGCAGGTAAGGGCCTAGCCGGTCTCTCCCGGGCAGATTGCACTGGGAATTCTTAGGTGAAGGCAGACTATGAGAAGGGAGGAGTAAAAGTGCATCCTTTCTGTTCTTAGTTCGCATTAATCCGCTTCATAGTTGGCTTTCTGCATAAGAACCTGTGAACAGACTCCAGCTGTGTCTGAGAGCCTTCCTTCTTAAACAGCAGGCACGCCTCTATAGTGCTTCCTAAGACATTGCCAGAAACCCATTTATGAGTGTACGTATGTAAAACGAGGGTCTTCTCTGGCTGTTAATTTGGGGTTTAAATCACGAGAAGCCGCAGTCATGGAGAGTAGAGTTCGTAAAGGAATGAATGCAGAATGTCTTAGAGAAATGGTATGCCACACGTTCACAGACTATAAGAGCAACTAAACCCTAAATTTATTTCTCCCCTTCATTTGCTAGATGGCCTTGGTCAGGTTATTTTATCTTCCTAGCACCCAGTCACAATTTATTAAATATTATAATTATAGTAGCTCTCAAAATATTATTGTAAGGGTGAAATGAAATGTTGATGGGTGTAAAGTTCTTAGAGTATCATCTGACACACTCAACTCCAGTCGTCATCATGATTGCCTGTGTGTACTGGACAGGAAGCCATGCTTTTAAATGTCTTCCATACATATGGTATCCATACAGCTGGCACTCAGTACTGTCTTAGTGGAGTTCTAGGGCGGGGTTCTGAGACAGGGTCTGCAGGAAGTGTATAAGAGTGACGGCGGCAAGGTAAGAAAGAGAGTCTTCCCAGCAAAGATTCCCACAGCTCCCATGCGGAGCTCTGGGGCCGATCCAACCCCTCAGAGCAAAGAGTGTGTAGTCTTCATACGTTCCGGGCTTTCCAGCTAGCCTCACTCACTCCTAGGGGTTGTGAGCAGAACAGCTAGTCCCATGCAGAGCACCGTAGCATCCGCTGCGCGGACACTCTAAATTCCGTTTGCACTTAGAAAATAGACCAAATTTAGCATAATTGGGGTGATCCAAAAGCAATAACATTTGAAAAATACACCCCATGCCTATCAGTTAGTGAGGGTTCTAAATACACCCCATGCCTATCACATAGTGAGGGTTCTAAATACACCCCATGCCTATCACATAGTGAGGGTTCTAAATACACCCCATGTCTATCACATAGTGAGGGTTCTAAATACACCCCATGCCTATCACATAGTGAGTGTTCTAAATACACCCCATCCTATCACTTAGTGAGGGTTCTAAATGCACAGCACCCCCTGCTGCCTCGGTAGCCTTCGCCCCACTTCTTACCCCGCCTCCCGGGGCATTTCTCGGTTTCTGTTTATTCCTTCTGATGGGGTGTCCTTGGCCACCCTCCCACCCCAGGGTGTCCCAGACTCGATGCAGTTTAAGCCACCTCTCCCTTGAGCGCTGTGAGTTCCCTCAGCTTCATCACTGTAGCACTGCCCTAGCTTCCTGTCTTCGCCCCTCCCATGATGTCTGGAAGCCATGTTTGTTTTGTTTCCCGTTGCAGCTGTGGGTCCAGTAAGATATGTTGAATGAATGAATGAATGAATGGATGAAAACAAGATTCTGTTTGCGAGCAGTGTGCACTTGGTCTGGTTGAGGCGTAGGCGCACCTGCTGCCCCATGTCTCCACCGTGAGTAACATCAATGTGCATTCGTGTCCCCCTAGTAACTTGAACCATGTACTTCTCTTAGTGGATCTTAGAAATATCTGTATTAACGATAAATACTTGACTTAACACATGGACAAAAGCACTTGTGCCCACATAATACAGTTTTAAAACATAGCGTGCTATCTGTCATGTATGTCAAGGGTCTCCACCCAGAGAGGACATGGGTTGTTAGATTGCTCATCCTATGTGTCCAGTAGTAAAGCATTCAGTAGACAGGGTCAAAAAGTAGTATATTCTGATCACCATCTCCCCGCCCGCATCTCCTCCCAGATCTTCCTGCCACCCACCCATCCAACTGTACACCCAAACAGGTCAAACCAGCAAACCAGAATAAAACAAAGCAAACAGAGAACAGGAAGGAAAAATCACTGAGAAGTATGCGCGCGCGCGCACACACACACACACACCCGTATACACACACACACACACCCATAAAGACACAAAATAAGCAACCACAGTAGATAAGCAAAAGACAAGTGAGGTTAAAAAAAGCCTAAACAAAGCATTATGAGACAGAGCATCTCCAAAAGTACTGTTGGGTCGTCCAACTACTGCTGGGCATGGGGCCTTGTAAATTGACACTCAGCTGGGGAAAACTAATTTTTCCCTTGTGAGGTTCTCCGTTGGAAATGACTCTGGGTTAAGGGTGAGAGCTGGTATCCATTTCTCTTCTCAGAGCTGGGCCCCATCGGGCTGTGACGCGTACAGTATGGCTGGCTCTTTATTACACCTCTTGTTAACCAGCCTTCCTTTGGTGGCCTCACGTGACCAGGGACCCTGCACACTCGCATCTTCCCGCCCCTCTCTTGAATGCTAATCTTAGTAGTGGGCATTCACCAGCACCTCCTGCTCCTCACGTCCTGCCCCCGCAATCCAGGAAGTCACCAAATGCCACCCTTTCTCTCTCCAGGTCTTTCCCAGCTCGGTGTCTGCAACACCATCCCGTGTGAGAGAGCAGCATCCCTGGTTATCTCTTGTCTAAGTCATCAACCCCCCAACCTGATCTCTGTCCCAGGTGTCCTCCAGTTCCCACCCAGGTCCCTCTGCTCACGGGGCTCCTCACGGGGCTCCCATGTCATCTCCTTCCCCGCACGGTTCATAACTTCACAGTTCGGCTCCCCCTGCCCCTGCATGTTCTGTTCTGCAACACCCCCTCTCACAGGCTCTTCTCCTGTGTGTGCTGCACTCCTGCAGCCCCAGTGCAGTCCCCCACCCCCCGGGCAGGGGCCTGCCCCCACTCCCCTGGCCTCCAGTTCACCCATGGCGGGCTGGCTCAGCATGCACTTACCGAGAGATGGTCGTGTGTTTAAACCTGAAGCAGAGACTAGTCCCTCTTAAGGTTTTCTGTCTCCTGCCGTCCATCTTTGTTTGCTGAGTGTGTCAGTCAGCCTGAGCGGTGAGCTCCACAGGCAACTGCTCCCAGGTGTACTGAGTCGCATGTTCAGTAGTGGGATTTAACCTATACAAGAAGGTGGACAGAGAAACTTCAGACTCACCCACAGTGGGCCCAGCACTCACTTTCCAAGACTGCCATGTGTTCAGCGTTATGTTTTTAGGTCTGTATGTAGTAGCTACAAGATAACAATGACTGCTTCTTTCTCAGAAGTCGCCTGCCAAACATGTCCTGAAAACAAAGCGAGGTACGGTTGTCCCTCAGGATCTAAGAGGATTGGTTCCAGCGTCCCTACAGACAAAATCTAGGGGTGTTCAAGTCTTTGTGCATGGCGCATATACATCCTCTACAGATTATTTATAATACTACCTAATCAATACAATTCAGATGAGGTGTGGCTATTTAAAGAATAATAAGGAGAACAAGCCTGCACAGGTTCATTCTGGAAGCAATTTTTTGCAGATCCTTTTAGTTTACGAACCCACAGGCACAGAGGGCCAGGTCTAGGGCCAAACGAAAGAGAGGGGTGACTCCAGCAGTGCATTGCATTAGTCGAGCACTGTCCCTGGGAGAGTGAGCCTCAGAGCCCTGAGAGCTACAGAGAGCCAGGTGTCTGGGACAGGCTCATAGCCTTGGCCACCTCGCTCCCGTGAGCACACCTTTCACAATCAGCCCTGTCATGCAGGCTGCATCATGGATGAGGATGCCACACCTCCAACAGTGCTCATCTTAGAGCGTCAGAGGCACGGCTGCGCGCTGGCCACCACAGTGTTGAGACAGACAGAAATGCGGTGTTTTAAGGAAGGGCTTCCTTCCCTAATGAGCAGGAAAGAGCTTCTAAACCAGCAGCAGGCCTGTGTGACTGAGGGTCTGTCCAGGGCAGCTCACTGCTCAGGCTCATCCGTGCTCATCCAGTAACTCTTCAGCCCGAGAGCCCATCCGGGGCCTTGCCAGCACCGCTGTCCTGCCTCACTCTCCCTCTGACCCAGCTTAGAGCGTGGTCTAGCCCTGAAGACACTCCTTCACTGCCTCAGTTCCTCCGCTCTCCTCTCCCTCTGCACTGTGTTTCCACAAAAGCCCAGTCCCTGTTTGTGCCTGACCTCCTAGTCTGTGTGAGCATCTGGCTGCTCAGATCCCAGGACCCATCACTGTCTTCATTCCCTGGCAGAGCTCCACATTCTCCCCTCAGTCCTGCTGCATCTACACCTTCCAGCTCAGCCCTGTGCAGCCCAGTGCAGCAGGCACATAGTTCCATCGTCTTTAAATTCAGAACGTCAGATGAAACTTCTACACAATCCTAGCCCATGTAAGGTTTCTTCTCTCTGGCTCTGTCTCTCTCTCTCTCTCTCTGTCTCTGTCTCTCTCTCTCTCTGTCTGTCTCTCTCTCCCTCTCTGTCTCTGTCTCTCTGTCTCTCTCTGGCTCTCTCTCTGGCTCTCTCTCTCTCTGGCTCTGTCTCTCCCTCTCTGTCTCTCTCTCTCTCTCCCTCTCTGTCTCTCTCTGTCTTCCTCCCACCCTCCCTCCCTCCCTCCCTCTCACTCTCTCTCTCTCTCCCTCTGTTTCTCTCTCTCTCTCTGGCTCTCCCTCCCTCCCTCCCTCCCTCCCTCCCTCCCTCCCTCTCTCTCTCTCTCTCATTTTTCGATAAAGGGTTTCTTGTGTAACCCTGGCTATGCTAGAACTCATTCTATAGACCAGGCTGGCTTCGAACTCACAGAGATCCGCCTGCCTGAGTGCTGGGATTAAAGGCGTGCGCCACCAATGCCCGGCTCCTTCTCTTCTCCTGGTCATTTCCCCTCAGCCTCCATTTCAGGTCCTGTGTACTTCCCTTACAACCCACCCTGCCCTTTCCACCCCATGTTTCTCCAGCAGCCTGTCCTCCCTTCTCTGGAGCCTTTGTCCTGGTCCTTGCATTTGCCTGGAGGTCTGG